GTAGGAACTCTCTTAAATTCATATTTTGATGCTCTGTTATACAAACCTATGGATCTAAAGGGACCACACTTGGTCTTGTAGGGGGAAAATGTCACTGTAATAAAGTAAATGTAACTGGCACAACTACAAAAAAGAGACTCAGAATGTTTTTACTCAGTGGAATTGTGGCTCATGACTTGGTTTTTCTAGGCCTTACCTTTCTTCTGGCTTTTCTCTTTACTTTCATCTAGTATTCTTTAACTTCTATAAGAGTCTCCTAGATCTCATGGGCTTTCTCTAGTTTTGTAAATATGAGAGACAGTTCCCCTGGGTCTGCCTAATTATAAGGTTGGAAATTTGCCTCTGTTCAAACAATGCTAAAATCCTGGTCCAAATGAGTGGTTCTGGTCATAATCAACAAAGTTAGACAAGATCCCAACTGGCCATGGAAGCTTTTGTGTGGTAAGTTTGAGAGTCAGCAGTAGAAAACTTGCAAAATATATTATTGATACTGTTTTCTATCATGTGAGTAGAAAGTCAATATACATGGCAAATGAATTAATAATGTTAAATCTTTACCAATGCAGTACTCTCAAATAATAAGGTCACCTAAGTATAGTAGAACAATGCTTGCTTATAACTGGTTGAGTTCCACAGAAATCTCATATTTTATTTGATCAAAAGACATTATTGCCATCTTTAATTCTGCAGATTAAACATTAATACTACTACTATTACTACTACTATTACTACTGCTACTACTACTACTACTACTACATTTTGTTATAGTGAAAAGTTCATCAGACTTAAAGGATTGGGCTAGCATCTCACCTCTATCACTTTCTTGCTCTCAGAGATCCAAGACTGTCACTTGTGTGTCTCAAACTTCAGTTTTCCCATCTAATAATATACTGGAGAATATTAATACATATTAATGCTACTCATAGAGTTGTTGTAAGGAGAAAAAGGTCACTATGAGAAAGGCCTTTGTACATTTTAGTGTTTTGGTATCAGTTCCAGAAAGTATATTGAAGCTCATTTTGCTACCAAATCACAGATATAGCCCCTCATTCTTTCATATGTTTCATTGCGTGGATTTTTTCTTTCATTAGTTGTTGTTTTGTTTTTCCATTTGATATCTTGTGTGAGATCTGCAACAATCCTGCAATAATCCTACATTTTGTTCTAGGTACTAGAGGGGTAGAAGAGAAATAAGACTAAAAAGCACATATCTGACAACTGTGTATATATAACAACTGTATCTAAAAACAATATATACATATATAAAAACTATATACACATTTATAGATGTCATATATAATATAGTATACAATGCACATTATATAATATGTGCTATATATGATATAAATATGTATTATATAATATAAATGTTTATAAGTGGTACAAAATAAACATGTTTAATATTATAGATATCAAAACCCAAACTAACTAAGTTATTATAAGCTTATGTACAAAGCTAAACTAAGACCTAGAATTACAGGTTTCCAAGATTAGTATGCATGAACTATCTGGAATGCTTATTAAAGGGTAAATTGCTGGACCCAACCTTACAAATTCTGAGTCAAGCATCCTTGAAGGCACCCCAAATCCACAGGTGACCTATGTGATTCTGATGTAGACAGTCACAGAATGACAGACACATTGTCTTAAGAATGATCGATATATATATATATATATATATATATATATATATAAAGAATAAATGGACAGAGGTAGAACTCATTTCTAAGAATTGAAAGTAAGGGGGACTTGCTTCTTATTCTTCCAACAGAAAGAGAGGTTCATGACTTGGCTGGTGTTTCAGAAACTGAATAAGGGAAAGGGAAGTAAATGTTGTGAGCTAAAGTGAGGTGAAGGGAGAAAAAAAGAAGCCAATCTGAGCCAGGAAGATTGCCATGGGACTGACTCCAGATAAGTAGGAACAGGTTAGAGTCAATATCATCATGAAAAAAATGGTCAGAGACAAACAGAATGAAAAGACAGCAAGGAAATAAAGTGGGCCCAGGAGTCCATTGGTAGCTTCTGTCATAACACCAACTTTGCTTTCCTCATTCAACCTAAAAAGCATCACTTCCATTATTATATTCTAAGAACCCTGGGAGCAACTGACACCACTTCTCCACTTTAGAAAAAACCAATGGGACTACCAAAGTAGAATTCTGGAATCTTCAGGTATTTGCCGCGGTATTTAGATGCTGACATGCTAAAAGCAGTATGTTCTTGCAGTTCATTCAGAGTGTCTTGCACAAAATAATACAGGGTATAATACCAATGACACACTGAAGACTACTTCTTAAAGTTTTACTCAGATATGGTAGCGTTTTGACAACATTTGGTGAACATTTCCATGAAAACTTTTTGGGATTTTAATTATAACAAGCACAGATTTGAACCCACAGTTTAAACTTAGTGTCTTGATATGCTCTAAGATTCTCATATGGATAAGCATTGGAACATATGTCAGCATCTCAAAGCAAGTTTTTATTTGAGGACTTGCCTTCCATGTAAACATACTTCCTTATCGTTAAGTGTGCCAGCTGATCAAGTGGCTGCCCGCAAACCAGGCAGGAGTCTAAGCAATGGAAGCCATTAAATGATGTCAACTTACAAGCAGCTAAACATCTCCATTCATGGAGAAGCCTCCAGCCTGAAGAACTAAGTGAACATAATTAGGAATGCATCTGAGTATTGGCCTCTTGTCTGCAAAGGTCACTTAGCCACCTTCCACTAGTACTGCTTGTGTTCCAGTTCTGTTTTGTGCTTACTCATTTGTCTCCCACTGGTTACCAGATGGCCACGATAATGTCGCTCTCCTTAACAACTGTCTTGTGTGATTCCCTGCAGCATGGGAAAGGCTCAAAACATTGAGTGTTTTTACCCTTGGATAAGCAAATGACAAGTCGAGGGGTTGCTGATCGTGTGGTTATGGACAGTGATGGAGAATGGGGCATGGAGCCTAAATTCAGTGTGATGTTACGCAGGTGACAGGTGCCCTAAAGAGACATTTGCCATTTCTCAAACTTAAGATGAAGGAAAGATTTGTCCACGCTTCATCTGGCTTTAATAAATGAGTAGAAACTATAGTGGGGGTATAAATAAGCATTGTGGTCATAATAAGAGGAAGAGTCACTGATTGTGCTGACATGTTCTCCTGAGCTAAGTTGGTTCTGATGGAAATCTCTCACAAGAATGCTTGGGGAGCTCTCTCAGCATGGGCTTCTGAAGTGTGCCAAGTTACCAGATGGGTCTGAGGAACATTAATAGATAAGAGGTAGGGGTATACAGAAGTAGATGGATCAATTGAGTTGGGTTAGATCATGCTGCAATAACCAATAACCCCCATATCCTAATCATGAAAAAAGGGTTTATTTTTTTATGTATGTGATATCTCTACTTTTGATGAACCAGGGACTCTGTTATTTTTACTCTAGTCCCAGACGGGCAAAGTAGTTGCTATCAGCACATTACAGATGGCCAGAGCAAACCGTGAGAGAGACTATGGATGGTGGGACACTGGCTCTTTAAAGTAGCTACTGCTTCTGTCAGATTTCATTGGCCCAAACAAGTCACAGGGCATCTGGATTCCTGGGAGAGTAGTAGAAGCATCACTTTTCCCCCAGACACATAAAGAGAACAGGAAATATTTGCTGAACAGTACTATTGACCCCCCAAGCAGCTGACAATGCTTTTTGGAGCCACAGACATCTCTCCAGAAGCAGATGCCCTTTTGGGGGCTCCAAACACTTTTAAAAAATCCTAAAATCTTACTCCAATACAAAAGCACTGCCAAACTGTGAGAAAGAAACTCCACAAATCTTTTCTTTTCCCCGTTGTGATGGCTTTAGTGCTTAAAAACAAGTCAGATTTTCTTGAAATCGTTTTTTTGGGGGAAGGATTGGAGTTGTTGTTCTGCTCACTGGGACACGAGCATTGCTTAATATGTCAGCAGGGTCATCCTACGCTTCTTTTTTCTATGATACAGTCACTCTGGGCAGATAGCAGTGAAGGAGGCTGATAGTGTGAGGCTATCCTGGGGGCAGATCTGGAAATGGGACAGGGAGAAGGCTTGGTATTGACAGATTGGGTTAAAGGCAAACTTTGATAAGGGCTTTACTAACAAAATGATTATGGAAATATGCCATTTCCAAGCCATTCACTCTAGCTACCTCAGAAGGCTGAGATCTGAGAATGTGGACTCAAAACCAGCCTGGGCAGACAAATCTGAGAGATCCTTATCTCCAATTAACTAACAAGCACCCCCACCCCCCACTCCCCACTCCATGCATGCACATGTGTGCGCATACACACACACACACACAGGAAAAAAAAATCCAGAAGAGGAGCTGTGGATCATGGTCTCATGTGGTAGAGCAGTAGCCTTGAGTGAAAGAACTCAGGTTGAGGCCCTGAGTTCAGCTCTAGGACTGGTAAAAGAGAGAGGCAGGCGAAGGAAGGAAGGGAGGGAGGGAGGG